TGAAATGAATGTCGTGTTTCCCCAACTCCACTGTCCACTTGAAAATCCTCCCGGACAGTTCCGCTTTCCTCAAAATGGCCTTTAAGGGCTGATCGGTAAGGACGGTAATTGGGTGTGTCTGGAAATAATGCCTCAGTTTTCTTGCAGTGGTGACCAGGGACAAAGCTAATTTCTCTAGGGGCAGGTATCTTGTCTCCGCGTCCAGGAGCGCCTTGCTTATGTAATAAATCGGCTTCTGGCGGTGCTCGTGCTCACGAATAAGTACCCCGCTTACCGCAAATTCAGACACGACTAAGTACAAGAAGAGCATTTCCCCCTGGATGGGGACGGATAAGGTCGGGAGAGTCCTTAGGTATTCCTTGATTCCAGTCAGGGCATCTTCGCACCCCTGGCTCCACATTTCCTTCCCAGCACTCTTGATTGCTCCGAAAAAAGGTTTGCATTTGTCTGAGAAGCGTGAGACGAAACGGTTAAGTGCTGCCAGCATTCCCGTGAGCTTCTGGACTTCTCAGACAGTTCGGGGGCACCGAATGTCCAGGATCGCTTGAATCTGATCCGGGTTAGCTTCGATTCCTCGTTGGCTGACCAGATATCTGAGAAATTTACCCGATTCCACTCCGAAAATAAATTTTGCCGCGTTCAGCTTCAGCCCGTACTCTCTGAGGATGGACAAGGTATCGGTCAAATCTGCCAGATGATTACGACTTTGTTTGCTTTTTACCAACATATCGTCAATGTAGACCTCCATGGTGTTGCCGATCTTCTTTTTGAACATCCGGTTCATCAGTCTTTGGTACGTCGCCCCAGCGTTTTTTAGTCCAAACGGCATCACTTTGTAACAGTAAACTCCTTTCGGAGTGATAAACGTCATTTTTTCCTGATCTGGGGGATGGAGAGAGATCTGGTGATATCCCGCTCGGGCATCCATGAAGTCCATGCGTTCATATCCGACAGTGGCATCCACTAGCTGGTCCACCTTTGGTAGGGGGTAGTCATCCTTGGCACATGCCTTGTTTAGATCTGTGAAGTCCACGCAGACACGCCATTTTCCCCCTTCTTCTTCACGCAAACCGTATTAGATAGCCATTCTGGGAACTGTATCTCCCAAATGGCGTTGGCCTTCAGGAATTTGTCGATTTCTTCGTTGACCGCGCAGGCGTGATGCGGGGCCATGCGTTGTGGCTTTTATTTGACTGACTTATGCGTTGGGTCAACATGCAGCTTGTGCGTGATTATCTCAGGGTCTAACCCCGTCATCTCCATTGCATTCCAAGCGAACACGTCCACATTTCCCCTTAGGAACTCAATCATCTCCTCCTGTTCGGCTGTGGCTATTGTAGTTCCAACTAAAAATATCTTTCTTCTTCTCCCTCCATCAAGGGTACCTTCCGGAGGTCCTCTACCGACCGCTCAATTGGGTCTATCCGGGGGTCATCCATTTCTGGACGCCCGGACTGTGATTGCTATTTTTCTATGATCTCTTCCGGTGCTCGTCCCTTTTCTTGGGTGAACGCCCCGGCTCTAACGGCTGAATAAAAACAATTTTTTGCAGACGCTTGGTCCCCCCGGATCTCCATGATACCTTCTGACGTGGCAAATTTTAGTTTCTGGTGGTAGGTGGAGTGCACCGCTCCCAACGCATGCAGCCATGTTCGCCCCATGATCACGTTGTAGGGAGAGTCCGTATCAATTACGACGAACTCGGTGTTGATGACGAAGGGACCGGTGACAACTGGCAATGTGATTTTGCCTATGGGTAGGGCGAACGAGCCGTTGAATCCGATGAGAGGTGTTCTGACCTTGGTAAGGTCCTTGAGGCCAAGACCCATCCGTTTTAAAGTCTCGGAGTACATCACTTCCGAGGAACTTCCAGAGTTTATCAACACCCTTTTGACGTCGAATTTTCCTATCTTCAGGGTCAAGACAAGGGCGTTGTTATGAGGAGTCACTACGCCTATCAAGTCCGCGTCCGAGAACGTGATGCTCGGCTCACCAGTCCTGACCCTTTTACTGGGTGGCCCTCCATCATCCTCGGCCACTTTCCTTGTAAAAGCTACCCTCTTGAGGTCGGACTCGAGTTCCTTGGATGTGGGGCGATCCAGGGGATATACATGGATGACATCTATGACGTTGTCCGGTTCCTCGGTCGGGGCAATAGTGTGTTTCTCTTCTGGCCTGGGCTCTATGTATTCTTTCAAGTATCCGTCTCGGACCAATTTTTTCAAGAACGATTTGTACACCCTGCAGCTTTCGGTGCGATGTCCGAAATTCCGGTGATAGGAACACCTAACCCTTTGATCACGGGTGGAGGGATCGCTCTACATCCTGGGCGACCATTTGAAGAACGGCTCGTGCTTGATCTTATGGAGCAACTTGAAGATGGGTTCTTTGAACACAGTGTGAACTCCTTTGGACGAACCCCCTAGAGGGGGTAGCAACCCCTTTCGGGAAGTATCTTCCCGCTCCCTCTCTTTTCTCTTGGATTGTAGGGTTCAGCCTTTGCTGCTTCCTATCTCATCTTCGATCCTTGAGTATTTGTTTATCCGGGCCATCAGCTCCCCCACATCCGAGGGAGTCTTCTTGGTTAGGGATCGGTACAAGTCCATGTCCCTCGCCAGGCCGAGCCGGAAAGACGCCGCTGCCATGACTTCCGAGTAGCCTTCTACCTCATTAACCTCTTCCCAGTATCGGATGGCATACTGGCGAAGGGTCTCGGATTCCCTACGTCTGAGGTTCAGCAATGATCCAACGTCTTTGGGGCGCTTACTCCCCGTAATGAATCGAGCCAGGAACTGCCTCGTCAATTCCTTCCACAACCCAATACTGTTTGGGGGAAGCGTCTCAAACCACTTCATCGCAAAGTCCCCCACGCTCATTGGAAACACTCGGCAGAGAAACCGTTGGTCCGAATGATAGAGGGACATCATCTGCTTGTATTGCCTGAGATGGGCTTCGGGATCGGACCGCCCGTCATAAGTTTTGAACCTCGGCATGATGAACTTTCTTGAAACCTCCATCTCTCCGATCTCCCTGGTGAAGGGTGTTTGTATGATCTCGTCTTCGACCTAATCCTGGACAGCCTTACTCTTTCTCTTGGATTCCAGCCGGGCTCTAAGATCAATTTATTCCCTGACGGGATGTCTTCTGAAGTTCTTGAGTTCATTAATGGGCCCCTCATTTCCTGGGCGCCGTGCGGATAGGGTAGAATCCTCCTCGGACTCATCCCCCTCCCTCCGTCTATACAATCCTCGCCGGAGGTCGTCCAGGGCTAATGGTCTTGCCTTTCTTGAATGGTCGTTAGGAAGGTGCTCGTTGGCTCTCGGTCACTTTGGAGCCCGGGAGCTCTCCGCCTTGTTATTTAGATGATTCCTTAGATCCTTCATTTCCGCCTCCCGGGCGGGGAGCCCACGAGAGAGGAATGAGTCCCTCGACCCTTCGCCGGAGGCGGCAAATTCGTTGAGCCGGCTTAGGACGTTTACATTGTCCTTTTCCAACTGTCGTAATCTATCGCCAAACTTTTCTTCGATCACCTCTGCCAGCTGACGAGCCAATGAGGCTGACCCTCCTGACCTAATTCCCATACTGGTTTGAGGGGTAACCCCTCTTAACTGAGTGGAGGCATTTTTATTCCCGTCAGTGTGATCCCTTCCTCCGTGGTGACAGGGAGCTTGTAGTTCGAGACTTCTTTGGTGGGGACCTTTCCCTTTTTGTCGAGTGTTCACCATGTTCATTGTTCTTTATAGAGAAAAAACTAGGAGAACTAGTCGTTTCCCACAGACGGCGCCAGATTGTGCGTGCAGGATCTTGCACAATATAAAAAACGAGAACAGATCTCTCCCTTGGTNTACAAACGGCGCCAGATTGTGCATGCAGGATCTTGCACAATATAAAAAACGAGAACAGATCTCTCCCTTAGTGAACTCGAGTGAGTCAGCTGAGTGGTCAACCACGCTGCTTGGAACAGCCTGTGAGATCCGGTGGTAACCTGGAACGGCAACGGGAGACCCTTGTGAATTGAAGGAATGATCCAGTAAGGCTGGGGAAAGGTTCCTGGAACAAAGGAGAACAAGTTAGAAGGACGCCGGAGTGTTTTCCGGCATATCCCCTCCGACGATCAAGTTAGTTTTTGAAAGGGAGAGGAAGAAGAAAGCACTGAGTATATTTCGTAGTAAAGAGTTTCTTGTTGCATACCGTTTTGCCTTTTATGAGGAGTATTTATACCTCAAAAGCTCATGATTGCTGTCAGTGTTGTCAGTAGATGATCATTAGGTACTGGCAGTGTGCGCACTGATTCTGATGAGGAATGTCTTCCTTTCTTTAACTGCTCGGAGTGCCGAGCAATCAATGCTGTGCCATCGGGTTGCCGACTGTCTAATGATCTCCACTCGGGGAGGATGCAATAAATGTCCAGCCTTAGAGACATTTATTGCCTTTCAATTCCGAGCCTTACCGTATTGAATGTGGTCTCATCAAGGGAATGGTGTAATTAAATATTTGCTTTCCCAAGTCGCGTTGTCAGTAAGGACATGCGGTCTTTCTGTCTCTGATGTGACACAATTTGCCACGTGTCCATTCCTCATTAGCTGTGGACCCTGCCTTCCTGTTCCTTCTGACACCAATTGTGTAAGACGAGACCATGATAGCTAACCTAGACTAGTCTAGGCTAATGACCTGTACATCAATAGTTTATACTGGAGCAGAGAAAAAGGCATCCTGGACGGGGGTACATCTCGGTACCGAGGATATGTACATCTCGGTACCGAGGATAGGACATCTCGAGCCGAGAGAAGCTGTACATGACGACCGAGGTACCATATCAGACCGGGGGTCGGTTCTTAAAACGTACTCGACACGTGTCAAGTACCTCGGGGGCGAGAGAGTTTGTAAGCCGATGGTACGTGATCTCAGTTAACAGGATTTTTAGTGACGCCAAGGCCACGTGTCTTCATCTTAGAGTATTTCAGAAAAGTCTCATCACCCACTATAGTATTGCAACTCCAATGGGGTTTTGGCCTTCTGTTGGATCAGTGGACTTATCGGCATATAAGCTAGGGTTTGGGGACTTTGTTCATGCTTTTTTCTCTTTGATTGTGTTTTCTGTGGTGGCTCTTTTGGATAATAACACAGTGCATTGCTATTATCATTCTTTTGAGTCCACTGACAAGGTTTTACTCTTGGCTTTGCCTCCTGTTCTTGGTGCAATTTCAAGCTCTATCTTTGTGATGTTCTCTAACAAGCGAAATGGTGTAGGCTACACTCTGACTCCAAGTACAAGCCGGGGTTCAGTTCCAAAGGAGCCTTAATTAGTTGCAGGATGTCGAGCACTCGACAAACAAGCATATCAAAAAAAACTTGAAAGCGTGTTTTGCAAATACATTTATATATATATTGTTGATTAATTTATATATTAAACGATTTCATTATAGGCTTTCTCCTTCTTTTTTCTTCCCGGAGTTTGAAAATTGTAAATGTATTCAAAATAAGAAGAGGGAAGAATGATAGTTAAATCCACTCGAAAATGTAATGACTTTTCTATTCTGCAATTTAGTATAATGCTTCAAGCTATTTAGTCTTGCTTTTCAAGGGGTAAAATGTTAGGATTGAGAAATTCTCTAGCATTCATAATCTTTTTTTTTTTTGGTTCAAGGGTCAGAGGTGTTGAGACTAGTTTACGCACACCTCAACTAATTTCCTCTCTGATTTGGTTAAATACAGGTCATCTACGCTGAAACTAAAATATTAATAAGAGATAAATCCTTCAAGCATTCATAGTCACCAACCTAAAAAAAAACATTATACCAAAGAAGTGGTGATTGTTAGAACAAAAAATAAATTAGCTACTAAATAATGCTTCTTGTAGCTAATTTAGGAACATAATACATTGAGACCATTAGATTGATTGTTAATTTCGTTTAATATTAGGTCACAAAATTAATCTAATGGTCACCATGCATTAGATCTTCACATTAGATACTCAAATTAAGTCTCAATAACATTCTTGTAGCCATCGGGAGAAATTAGCAAGGAAAAGATGCCTTTTTGATGGAGGATCTATGTCACCGCATTCCACCCCTATACCCCAAATATACTTGCTTGGAACCCATTGCGAACCTATGATTTGGGGTCTCGCCGGCCTCGGATGCATGAAGGGATGCCCAGATTAGGTGGTATCCGCACCACGAATGTCAATGACTCCGACATTGTCTCATGCCTATATATATTGTGCGAGATTGTCTATGTTGGGTTAGAACATACGGTTTTAAAATACGTCATACAATAAAAATTCAAAGTTTTCAATCCGATACCGTTGACTATATACAATCGGATTCTCACTAATATACGATAGATAATTTATAATTAAGAACACATATAAAAAAATGTACCCAAGATAAGGATGATATATCATGGCATCTCTTTCCGGATATATCACGGCATCTTTTTTAAAGTCACTAAAAAATTATTAGAATTAACAAACAAACAAACAAACAAACCAGATTAGTCTAACGTCTTTCCTCACTATTCTTTATTGTCATCATTTTTCTTCTGCTTCTTTAATAACGTCTACATCATTTGAATTAAGAAAAGGGATAGGCTACGATATTGAGGGCTTATCGCACCAAAATTTATAACGCCTTCATATAAAATTATAATATTTTAAGGGTCTAAGTTATAATCAATTATAAAATTTTGTAATCGATCATGAAAATTATAATTATAAATGTAAAATTACATCTTTTTATATAAAGATGAAGTTACAAGTTTAAAAAAAAAAGAAGAAGAAGAAGAAGAGAAGGGTGGTTTTTTTTAATTTTTTTTTGTTTCTAACTGGATTTTCTCCCTTTTTTTTGGCAGGGTAGGTGTTGGTCTATATCATTGACCAGTAAGCATTAGAAGGTTTTTTGATCTGCATCTTCACACAAATTTTAAATGTCCAGCTAAGTTTATATAGCTTGACAATCAACATTGACCATTTCATTTCTCCTAATACTTTATGTCAAACACCACGTGTTAACACGACTCAAACCAGACTCAAAATCAAACAATAGTTTTGAGTGAGAAAGTTTGAATTGCGTCCCTTTCTGATTGACACATTCATGTATGTTCTTGGCATGTTTATCTTGTGTGAAGCTTTTAGTTGGATAAGTACTTTTTGAGTTTCAAAATAGCCTTAAATATTTGAACTGGTAAGAGATCATTTTCGAGTTAAATTGTGTCATCTTACTGATGAACTCTTACATTTACCAATAATATAACTATGTTGAGAGAAGTTTACCAATAATATAACTGTGTTGAGAGCAGTTTGCATGGTAGATTTGACTGTTATACTACTATACTTATCAATCTTCAAGATTTTACTCAAAGAAATGGTTAAAAAATGGGTTGAAATGTGTTTGAAACAATCCATAGGTGGTGAATTTGATGGAAAGATAAAAATGATTAGACCTAATTATGCCACCTAGACGGGAATGACATAAACACTTCATAAATTCAAAATAACCCGTCTCACGAAACCATTTGATTCAGCTCCTACTCTAACTCCACAAAGAAATAAATTAATGAACAAATTCAAAACCAAGATGAGCAATGAACTTGACTTTATGTTGGACTCATGGAATAGTCGCAACATTCATGACAACATTAATCTAAACCTTGAAGCTTAGAACTTCTTGACCCAAAAAAAAAAAAAGGCTTAGAACTTAGAAGCGCCACCTTGAGAAGAGACGTAGAAGCAACTCTCTCTCTCTATAAATAACATGAATTTGTTGTAAGTCTCTTATCACATAAAATAAAAACCCTACCTCATCTCGTTCCTGCAGGAAAACAATCAAAACCCTAGACACGAAGAATGGCCAGCTCCGGCAACTCCTCTGGCACAAGTGTGAAGGACAAGACATTAACAGGTGTCGGAAGCCTCATCAGGCTCCTCCCCACCGGAACTGTCTTCCTCTACCAGTTCCTCAACCCCGTGTTAACCAACAATGGTCACTGCCACACCATCAACAAGTACTTTTCCGGCATACTCATTGCCATTTCCGGTCTCGCGTGTTTCTTCTCCACATTCACAGACAGCTACACAGACAGTGATGGAAAAACCCACTATGGTATTGCAACTCCAAAGGGGTTTTGGCCTTCTGCTGGATCGTTGGACTTATCGCCATATAAGCTAGGGTTTGGGGACTTTGCTCATGCTTTTTTCTCTTTGATTGTGTTTTCTGTGGTGGTTATTTTGGATAATAACACAGTGGAGTGCTTTTATCCTTCTTTTGTATCCAGTGAGAAGCTTGTGATCATGGTTTTGCCTCCTGTTCTTGGTGCACTTTCAAGCTCTATCTTTATGGTGTTCCCTAACAAGCGCCATGGTATAGGCTACCCTCTGACTCCAAGTTCAAGCCAGGGTTCAGTTTCAAATAGCCTTAATTAGTTGGAAGATGTCAAGCATTAGACACACAAGCATATAAAAAAACTTGAATGCGTGTTTTGCAAATTGCATATAAATTTATATATTGAACGATTTCAATATAGACTTTTTTATTCTTCTTCTCCTTCTTCTTTTTCTTTTTCTTTTTCTTTTTCTTTTTCTTTTTCTTCACGGAGTTTGAAGATTGCAAAATGTATTCAAAGAAGAAGAGGGAAGCATGATAGTTAAATCCCCATGAAAATGTAATGAGTTTGCTATCCTGAAGATATAATGCAATATGAATGATTTTGAGAATGATATTAATGGTCGTTGAATAAGCCTATTTAAAATCGTCAGATAAACTTATTGAAGTCTGTTATGTTTTATATTATAAATTTTATATATATATACAACCATATTAGTCTAATAGGACTTAAATCACCCTTTAACTTGCACCTCTTGGTTCACTGGTTGAACGTCGAAGGTTAACTTGTATAAACGATTTGTGGCTGGTTATATACATCTAACACTGGTGTTAGAATTCACGAGTTTATAGAGGATATGGTTCGAACGATTCTTTAAATAATAATAATATGAACACCACTTTTGTGTACTACTTGATTTGCACCATTTGATGTGATATGATCTTAGCCATTAAAAATTTAATAAAGTCAATAAGACCCATTAATCGAATGGTCCATATTGAAGTAATACAAAAAAAATGGTAAATGTAACATTGTTGTTCTTCAAAACCAAAAAACAAATGAGGCCAAGGAAAGACGTCATATATAAATGTTGAAATAAGAAGTGGACTGGCTAATGAGAGAAGTTATCAAAGGAAAACGATGCCCTTTCTGACTTCTCCATGTCCACATCTCCTTAGTCGTCCCTCCATCATGCTCATGTCATGACACCATCTTAACATCACATGGAAACTCCATTACTCACCGAGTCGGGTCGTCCACCAGGATATTGACTGAATTTCTTGTATTAAGGTTAAAAATTTGAGTTTTAGAATTTATATCGAAATTCGGTAGTTGACCGAGAATTTCATGATTTCACCAATGAAAATTTATCAGGATAGTTTCTAAACACTCTCATTTATCTTACTTTTTTTTTTCCAAACAAAATAAAAAGGACACTGATGAGCAAAGAAAACCCTTATATATAGTACTATTCTAAAGAAAACCATTATATATAGTACTATTCTTCAAGTGCTTTTGGAAATGGAATTTCAAACTCATCACAAGTAATTATGAAGAAAAAAATGAATACTATTGAGCATGATTTTTCTTCTCCTTTTTGAATACCTTCTTCACTTTTTTTTCTTTTTTTTTTCTGATACAAAAATATTATTTTTATATAATTCGAGTATCTAGTATAATATTATTGTCAGATTGATAATAGATTTTATTCAACCCGTTGTAAATCTAATGATAACAACATATTAAGTCTTTAAATTATGTGTCAATAACATTATTCGAATGAATGATATCAAAAAATACGATAAAGAAACGGAAAGAGTGTAAGTTGCATTGTTAATAGTCGTCCTCTACCAAACAAAAGCTAGGTGCACGGATTATACAAAAGTGGTTGCTTAAACATTTGGGGCTGCAGTTATTTGNTACGATAAAGAAACGGAAAGAGTGTAAGTTGCATTGTTAATAGTCGTCCTCTACCAAACAAAAGTTAGGTGCACGGATTATACAAAAGTGGTTGCTTAAACATTTGGGGCTGCAGTTATTTGTTTTGATTAACATGATGTGACAAACATGGCAGAAGTAATTTTATTCTAATATTCTTCCGTTAAGCAAAAGCTCACACGACTAATCGTATAATTATGATAGGACAGGTTGTGGGTTCTAAATTTATAGGTATGATAGATATTTATTTATGAAAGTATTCCCAATGCGGGACGGACTCTTATTTCCCCTTCAAGGTAAGCCATATATTGGTAGTGGATTTAAAAGAAATTCGAAAAAAAATAGAATAAGAAGACGGGTTTTTAGAATGAACAAAATACGGATTGAGAAAAGAGAGACAAAGGAGAAAGAAGGACAAGACAAACACAATAACCAAGTTAACAACCACTCTAGCAGAGCAGAGCAGCCCCTTTGGTGGCAGAACGTAAGTCATTAGAGCTTGCTTTAACTCAACCGTAGGAATCCTTGGTACAAAAAAGTGTAAAAATCTAACCCAAGGCTCGTTTCCAATAAATGGTATTTAGTACAATTCCTGTTACGTTCAAAGTGTTCTCAAATCCAAATGAAAGTCTTATTTATAAAATACCACACAACGCTGGAGAAGTTACTAGTAGATATATATGATGCGCGATCTATCATTAAAAGAAAAACAATGCTATGATTTAATTTATTAACCTAATTTACTATAATTTTTGAATTGACTGTGGACTCTATCAAATATTAAAACTTAGTGTTCATCTAATAATTATAACTTACAATAAAATCGTATCATTAAGTCAATAAATTATGTCAAATTTTTAGATTTCAATGATATTACTCTTAAAAGAAAGTGTACCATTAAAAATTCAACTCCATCAAAGATATGGGGAGAGGGGTTGAGAATTATTAGGAAGGATAAATTGCAAGTTGTCCTCTAAAACTATGATATTTGTTTTAATTTACCCTCTCCAAGTATTAAATTTTTCACATTGTCCCATCAACTACTTGATTGGTTTGACATGTCTGTTACAACTTTAGAATTGATCACTGCAGTGCAGATTCTGCGAAGTAATATAATACTCGAAAGTCTGAGGTCGAACCACAGAAAATTGTGAAAACTTAGAACACAGAAAAATAAAAAAAAATTTGCTTTGAAAAATTGTTGTAGATATTTTGAAATTAGAAAACAATAAATTTGGTTTTAAAATAATAATTGAAAATAATAAAGCATCGGAAATACCCTTTTAAATTCACACAGTAATTATTAATAATCTAGTTTTTGAACTCAATTGAGAATCAGTTGATGAGTGATCCCAATCGGAATATTTAGCTGTGATAATATAAAAACATCAAAAACTAAAATTAATAAATTATCTGAATAAATATAAAAATTTACTTGTAAATCACAAACATTTACCATACCAGGAGTCTAAAATAAATCAAGTTTTTCAACAAGTAAATCTTATTTTATTGCAAATAATAAATCAACTATCTTATGAAAAAATCTAATTAATTAATTCAAGTATGGAATAACCAGTTATTTGACTCGCAGGGAATCTCAAGCATTCGATGTACGTGGCACAACAAATCAAAAAATTATACGTAACAAAAATTTTACTAAAAGACAAGAATTAAATTAAAAGAATAAATCATGCATTAAAAAGAATATCAAATCAATAATAAATAACGTACTTCATTGAAATTATCTCTCATAGCTTTTACTGGACTTTTAGCAAGCCATAGAACTAAAACAAAAAATTAAAAAAAAAAGATGGAAAGAAAATAATAATCCTCCTAATCATCCCTTCTCAATAGGTGAGAGTCTTTATTTATAGTAAAATAAATCTTAGATATAGGTAGAAGATATAAAGTTGGTTTGAGTAGAATTATTTTTCAAAAAGAAGTTTTTAAAGTTAGATCCAAAATCTTGGAGTTACAAGTACAAAATCTGTCCAGACTTCGAGCTTGAATTTCACATATTTAGAAACTGAATCACAAAATTTTCATGAAATATATTTTTATAGCCCTTGAAGTTTTCTTTCCAACCCCGCAGAAATCAGATCAATTGAATATCATAGTCTAAAATTATGACCAAAATACTAAAGACATGTTAAATCCTTATCTTCAATGATATTTTCCTAATGCAACTTTAAATGAATTTTCTTCCGACTTAGATTCTTATAAAGATTAAATTTTTGATTTATCTTCAAATCTTCCTTTCTTAATCATGATTCTTTAATACTTATCAAAATATTGAAGACGTGTCAAATCCGTATCTTTTAGGATACTTTCATAATACAACTTTAAATAAGTTTTCTTCTAACTTGGTCTCTTATAAGGATTAAATTGTTGATTTATCTTCAAATCTTCCTTTCTTAATCATGATTCTTTAATCCTTATCAAAATTCTAAAAACGTGTCAAATCCTTATCTTTTAATATACTTTCCTAATGCAACTTTAAATGAATTTTTTTTTAACTTGAACTCTTATAAAGATTAAATTGCTTATTTATCTTCAAATCTTCATTTCTTAATCATGATTCTTTAATCCTTATCAATTATAATTCTTCCTCTAGTGATTGTTTCACTTGTCTTATCTATTATTACTTTAAAATAAACCAATTTACCTGTAAAATAAACCAAACAATTAGAAAAACTATCAAACTAGAAAATCAAGAAATTTAACACATTTAATCACAAATAATATGTAATTAACCAATCATTAGATATAATAAAATAACACTTTTAATTATTAATCAGTATACACTCCTCATATTTTAATTTTGCATTGCAACCACGTCCAAAAGAGGAACCAATGCTCAAGTTTCCCAAACACCACAAATATGACTCATATAGGACTACTAATCGAATTGAACCGAACTATTTGAATTTGACTTAAATAAGACTCAACTCGAACTCGACTTATGTTTTAAAAGAACTGAACTTGAATAATTTTTTAAGCTTGTTAAATTTGGCTCAAACTTGCGAAGCTCAACTCATTTATATGTAAAATAGTCAAACTATTCGAACTTGCCTTAGATTGACTCATTTTTTAAATAAAACAACTTTGAACAATTTTTTAAATTTGTTTAAAAAAGCGAACTTCACAAGATTGGACTTAAAGTAACAAAACTCGACTCGATTAACCACCCTAAACTCATTGATAGGAATTCAAAACATTGTATAAGCATATTTTTTTTCTAATAATCAAGAAAGAAAATAACTGGTTTTACTTGAAACTCTTTATTGAATACAAGGTCCACAAGCAAATTATACACTTGACTTCTAATAGTCTTCTCCTCTCATCATAAGGAATATTCCTTTTTAATTCACTTCTGTATTCTTCCATTCATCCACCTTTGGAACGTTCTTATTTATGTACAACTGTTTATATGCAGTACCTGGAGTCCTCTTCCCGAGAAAAGGTCCTTCCTGATCATACAGCAACTTGTGCTGCGGCTAGCCTAGCAATAGGCACTCTGACAAGAGAACCACATTTGAAGATCATAGTTAATGAAACTATACTACAAATTGTGATATATATATATATATATATATATATATATATATCGAGATAGAGAGAGAGAGAGAGAGAGAGAGAGTATCATATAATATTAAGATTTAAAACAAATAAAGCTACCTGAATGGAGAACATGAGACGTAGTCCAGTCCGGCCTTTGCAAAAAATGCCACAGAAGAAGGCTCCCCTCCATGCTCTCCACATATTCCAACCTGTTTGTTATCATTGTTCGTTATTCTTTAAATTAACTTAGAAATATACAATAACAGTATCATCAAAAGGGTAGGCCACGGTTCTCATTGCAAACGTGCAAGGATTTAATAGCTAATATCGGGGCATAGCCCATCCCCTTATGCTTGATCGCACACTGCATACACCGTTCATCTTTCCATGTTTCTACATTCTTTTGCTTCTTTTTTCTTATCGATGCCCACATTTTAGGTTCTAAGGAAATAGTGTCTTACTCCATATCTACATATTTCATCAGGCTCAAGCATCAAGTCTTCCTAAACATAACCAGTGATACTCACCTTCAAGCTTGGCCTAGCTGCTCGACCCTTTTCTGTGGCAATCTTGATAAGTTGACCTACACCTTTTTGATCGAGTACCTGAGAACAAGACATTTGATCTATAGTGTAAAGCAGCAAGTTTCAAAATTTTCCGTGTATACTCAAAAGTCTACTGTGAAAGCGGAGGATTTGCTAACAGCTGACCTCAAATGGATCATTCTGGAGAATGCCTTTGGAAAGGTATATGGGAAGAAACTTGCCAACATCATCTCTGCTGTACCCAAAAGTCATCTGTGTCAGGTCATTGGTCCCAAAGGAGAAGAATTCTGCCTCCTTGGCAATCTACAATATTGAGTAAAGATTACAAGGCATACGTTAAAAAGATAAGGATAGAGAAGCAGAAGAAGAAGTGGCTACATATAATGCTTTCCAAACAACTATCTGCGACCATTTTAAGTGATCTGACAACTCAAGGGAATTATCAACGGAAAGCTTAAGAGGAATTTTTTTTTTTTTTGTGTGTGGGGGGGAGGAGGGGGGTATCAGCACACCTCATCTGCAACCAGAGCAGCCCTTGGTATCTCAATCATGGTCCCAACCTTATAGCTCAAGGAGAAACCCATCTCAGAGAATACTTTATTGGCAACGCTACGTATTAAATTCACTTGATGCCCTAGTTCCTGCCAAGAAAATTAAAGAGAACTGCAGTTAATTGCACCAAAGTGGCTTCATAATCCAAGCAATAAGTGCAGTTGGGAGGGGATTCGGCCAAAATAGAAGAAAGAAAGAACAAAAGGCAAGAGAAATGGTCATAGTAGAGAAACAAGCCTTCTCTCTCATTTTCAGATACTGAAGTGGTTCAAGGTTCGCATCTAGGTCATGTGAAAAAATCAAAAGAGATCAAGAATCATACCTGAGGTGTTCCTATAAGAGGAACCATTATCTCCGGAAGGACTTTAACACCTTGGTTACTCATAGAAACAGCAGCCTGAAAGATTGCACGCACCTGCATTTCAGTTAGCTCTGGATACGATATCCCTAGCCTGTTGACACATGATAAACACGCAAAATGAATAACAATAATTTGGTGGGAAAAATTCCTTCAAATGTAATTAATTATATACCAAGTTGAATATATACACAAAGTTGGAACATATTATAAGAAGATTAATACAAAAAGCTGGGATTACATGAAAGAAGTTACCCCACATCCATCAGTTCCTAGATGAATTTCTGGTATATGGAAACAAAGCCTTAAAAACAATCAGCAATTCAGTTTTAATTTCTTTATTTGGAACCTAGAGTCCAGCGAATACTCTGTCCATAATGCATAAAGTTAGCTGACAAATTTGACAACTGATCAGCACCCTAATAGAAATGAAAATAGTGTGCCATTTGTTGTATACAGGTACTGACTATTTGTTGGGCAATAAAAAGTCAAAATGATATCATGTCCAAGTGTCGACCATAACATTTAAGTTACATAACATTCTTATTATGTAGCATATAAGAGCATACAATCAGAGAGAAGATTGCATATTTCGATTAGATAGTTGCAGAAAGGATGATCTAAGCATGCATTACATGAAGAAGCTCAAAAAATAGGGGCAGCATACCTACAGCCTCGGAAACCAAGCATGGGATTTACTTCTGATAATTTTTCAATCCTTGAGTAAACTTCATCTTGCGTCATGCCAGTCTCCATGGTTAGTTCACTGACAATCTGCTCAAGGTCACCTTCTGGTAGAAATTCATGGAGTGGAGGGTCTAATAGTCGGATTGTCACTGGAAGACCTGAAACATGACCAAAAAAAAAACCATCTTAAATAACTAGAGAGGTTTGAAGTTTTCAACCAATCTAGCTACCCATCTGACAGCCCCACTCATTGTGACCTCATCAGTAACCTCCTCAAAAAGCCCAAGGCCCAAATTGAAAAAGAAACAAGGAATAACAGGATGTTCATTAAATAATGAGTTCCCATCAAACTGTACTACTCATTCTAGTTTATTGAGTTGAATATGATGGCGTTCTACCTTGTTTCTGGTTCAAATAGACTTAGAGTTGATAAATAGGAAAGTACCATCCATTGCACGGAAGATGCCGGAGAAGTCAGATCTTTGATAAGGCAGCAACAGGTTCAGGGCTGCCTTCCTCTGTTCAGTCGTAACTGCCATTATCATTTTTCTCACAGCCTTTATCCTCTCGTCGGAAGCAAAGAACTAAAACACCCAGCACACAAAGAGTTCAAGAGATTCTGTAGTCTGACTGTATCCATTACTGTTAGCGTGGAAGCAATAAACCAGAGCTATGAACAAGAAGCAACCAGGATACATGGATAAACAAATCACACTTAAACAAGGAGACTACAATATACATGGTTCCCGTGTTGTGAAGACTTATAAACGTGGACAAGAACAAGAAGGTATTCAATATTGAGATCACAAAATCGTGGCTACAAAGGTGGTACTAAAACCCCTTTGCCCCAATGAGTCTCTCCCTATTAAAAGCCCCTGTAAATGGTTCCCTTTTTACAAAAGAAAGGGGTCACCACCAAATTCAGACCTGGGGTGCTGCCCCCCCGACCCCTACAGCAGAATTGGATAAAACAGCCTAGACCCTTTCCTCTGAACTCCAGATAAAGCCTTTGGCTTCCGGACATTAATGAGAAATACACATAGCATTAGCTAGTGGAACTGCGGAATGTAACATTAGATTGTTTGAAACTAATCTTTACTTTATAATCACCATATTTCCATTCCATGTACATGGAATATATTAGCAGAAAAATGCAGCAAACAATAAAAGACTGGTTGAATGTCCCATGGAATTGATGAGGTGTACAGATACCCCTTGTTTCAGGCTATCAACAGTGCCTCGACTACTATCCAATTCATGCTCTTTGCATTAGAACACATTGAATTTTTGAATACCCAGAAAACTCTTAATTTTCCCAGAGACAGGAGCACTATAATACATGAAAATATAGCATTAACTTTGGTCGTTAACGATTTCTAGTGTCAAAATGCTCATAGAGAAGCAATAGTCCTTTTTACATATCCCACGGATTGCAAGTTACTGAAGAAGACGAAGATGGTGATAAGGATGGAAAGAAAGCATTACCATATGCTCTGTCCTACAGAGTCCGATCCCTTGGGCACCATTATTTCGTGCTGTTAGTGCATCTTCTGGTGTGTCAGCATTTGCCATGACCTATGCAGAGCCAAATTACAAATCAGTCACACCAGTTTCTACCATCAGTACCAGCAGAACTCATCCTACGTGACATAAATGACAACAGCATCCACCTTAATACGCCTGATTTTATCAGCCCAAGACATGAAGGTCTCCAGATCACCACTTAAAGCTGGAGGAGAGAGTGGTAGTTTACCCAAGATCACCTCACCAGTAGACCCGTTCAATGAAAGCCATTCCCCTTCTCTAATAAAATTGTCACCAATGACGAGAAGCTGCATTACAATCAGATCATATTTCAGTCCTGAAATTATTACTGCTTCAATTTAGGAATGAACTCTACCTTCTCTGCACCATTAACCCGGATGTCAGCACAACCAGAAACACAACATTTTCCCCAGCCACGGGCTACAACAGCTGCATGAGATGTCATGCCACCTCTAGCTGTCAATATCCCTACAGCCGCATGCATACCCCCAACATCCTCTGGACTGGTTTCCGTCCTTACCTTCAACCATACAAATAAGTGGAGAGTTCAATTTCAACAATTGAAATGTGACCAGAAGAACAATTAATATGTGAACAAGTAATCATGTAATTTTACAATAAAATTTGCTTTCACAAGTTAACTTCTAGTAGGATTTAAATGGTTGTTTTGCATGTTCTATTCCTCTAAGCAATCCCATCTGCAATATATGGCTATATGAGCTTACCAGAATGACACTTTTTCCTTGTGCATGCCATGCTTCAGCATCATCAGCACTGAATACAATCTGACCCACTGCTGCTCCAGGGGATGCAGGTAAGCCTGTGGCTACCACTTTGTCTTTGTAAGTGGAAGGATCCTCAAACTACATCAACAAATAATCTGTGAGTCCATAAATACATGATGGAAGTATACATAAAAAAAAAACAAAACCAAACCCATTCATACCCATGAGGGCTCTTTATAATGAAAAGAAATGGGAAGGATCTAATAATCACACACCAATGCAGACATTTAAAAACAAGAAAATGAGAAGATTGATCTGCTAATTAAATTAGAAAACATTAAGACTCAATGCAAGTCATTTTGTCACTTGATGTATTGACAATCATTCTATTCTAATTCATTGTTGATCCAAGGTTCCTTCAAAGAGATGTTATTGTCTTTGAGAAAAATGACAGCCATTCTGAAGAATAGATAGCCCATTTGATACTTGAACTTTCTTTGACTGCTGGAATGGTAAATCATGGTTCCTTAATGGCCGGTACTTTGATGCACTCTTGCACACACACATACCTGTGGGTGAAGTAGTTGGTCAAGATGCTGTGGCTCCACCATCTTAATTGCTGTTCGAGTATCAACAAGCCCTTCATTAACCATGTCTACAGCAATCTTTACTGCACCTTTACCCGTACGTTTGCCAGATCGACATTGCAACATCCACAGCCTATTTTCTTGAACAGTGAATTCAATATCCTGTGGTTCACCATCAGCAATTCTAAGAACAACATTATAGGTACATAAAAAAGGTGTTATAAGCAAATTAAGCTTAAAAAAACTAGTAAATTTTGTTTAATTGCACGCCATAGAAAAGAAGTGAAGCCTTTAAAGATATAGAAAAAGAAATCAAGAAACAAGTAAGAAAAAAAAGCCAGCTTCCCATCAGAAATATGAAATCTTACCATCATATCTTTGTAATGCCGTTCCAAGATTTCACAGTTTGCCACAAGCTCATTGTAAGCTTCGGGCATGGTACTTTTCATGGTATCCAAGTCCTCTGGTGTTCTAATTCCAGCAACAACATCCTCTCCCTATCCAAAGCTGCTTATCAGCTCATATAATCATTATGAATTAATCACTTATATTCATTTAAAAGAGCATTGAAGTGGTAGAAGCAGTTTAAGACCTGAGCATTGATCAGAAATTCCCCATACAGCTTCTGTTCCCCAGTGCTTGGGTTCCGAGTAAATAGAACACCTGTCCCCGAAGTGTTTCCCATGTTCCCAAACACCATGCACTGAATGTTTACAGCCGTTCCCTTTAACCCAGTTATTTGGTTAATGCTTCGATACTTAATGGCCCTTGGACTGTCCCAAGAATCAAATACTGCTTTAACAGCTAACTCTAGCTGCTTTTTTGGATCTGCAAACAGATACAAGCAAAGTGAATGGATAAGCTTAATATGGTTGGATGCATCTTTCAAATTACTTATATTGGGTCTGGCGAGTTTTGCACTGATTGTCGGCTACCTAATGCAATCCTCCTCCTTTATTTGGGCTTGTCATCCGAAAGAGCATGTAAATATAAAAAATAAGATGTCAGTTGTGGTCGTTGGTACCTGAAGGAAACTTTTCACCCTTAGCTTGTAGGTAGACATTCTTGTATTGTTCCACCAGTTCCTTAAGATCAGAGGCTGTTAGCTGTGTATCGAGCTTTACACCCTTTGCATCCTTCAACTTCTCTAACTTTTCCTCAAACAATGAGTGTGGAATGCCCATCACCTTCAATTACACAGAATTTTCATAAAGTGCGGAGAAAAACAAATTCTTACAGTTTCATCCCATGTCAAGAAGTTACTAATTATTATGTCTTGATTGCATAAAAGAAGGCAATTTCAGTCTTTCTCTTTTTACACCAATGCAATTTAGGGAATCTAAGAAAGAACATGAAGTAGCATTTGATTAAGACTAACAAAGTGATAAATTTTCTTAACAGTTCAGTGATCAGCATAGAGAAGACACTTACAACACCTCCAAACATGTCTACAAACCGTCGGTACGAGTCATATGCAAACCGATCTCCACTTTTCGCAGCCAAACCAGCAACCACTTCATCATTGAGCCCAAGATTTAGGACAGTGTCCATCATGCCAGGCATTGAAATCTAAACGCATAAATTGAAAATCAGCTAGTTTAAGAAAATAGGAAGTATCTCAAGATATAGTTATGTGACTGCTCATTGGTAGACTGCAACTTTCGATTAGCCTTTTTAAAGATTAGAATGCTCTGTAAAATGGTGTTTCTCATTCATAGACTTCTTTACTAACTATGGATGTAAGACAAGACTAGTGGAGCGACTAAGGATAGTAGACTTATAAAAGATGTTTGTCATGTACCTGATCATACTTTAACTGCCAAATTAGGACATACTCACATAGAGGCCACAAGCAGTTATTAATAGTCATGTTGAGACATGCATTACCAAATCATGGATCATAAATGGTGCTGAATGTCACCAACAATGTGATGGGAAAGTCCATGAGAAACCAACAGTGACAGTACATTTATTCCTATAATCATAATTGGCTTACCAAATTTATGGTCATGGTTGGAGCGCACTCGGTCACACACTCAAACCAATAAGCTTATGCTAAAGAGTGAACATTCACACACTCACAAACAACCGAAAGAAGCTTACCGCGGCACCAGACCGAACAGAAAGGAGAAGCGGCTTGAAAGGGTCCCCAAGGAAAGCTCCCATGTCCTTCTCCACGCACTCCAAGCCTTCCAATATCTCCTCCCACAGTCCTTCTGGCAGCTTCTTGCCATTCTGCTGATACTCCTGGCATGCTTCCGTTGATATGGTGAGACCGGGTGGCACTGACAATCCAATGCTTGCCATTTCAGCTAGGTTTGCTCCTTTACCTCCCAACTACAACATTGTCACACATATCATTTTCATGAAAATGTTTAAGCAACCCATGCAAGCTTTCTCAGGATACTGATTTCTTTCTGGCTTGACAATCGCAAACATAAATAAAGCAAAACAAAGGACCGAAGAGTTCCAGGCATATTTGCAGTGTGTTCTCACCAAATGACTCTATGGTTGCTTCCAAGCTTTTTCAAGTGTCCACTTGGGTTGCTTGAATTTGCAAAATGGCGTACTCAATAGCATTTTATGCCTCACTCATATGGATCCTACTCCGTTGTGGTAACAAATAGAATATTCAATGCACTTCACCTAGGGTAACTTTTGCGTTTATTTTTAGGATTTTCATGAAACCATCAAAATAAGAAAATGTGATATGTGATGAGTTTATCACATTTTAGGTATTGCATCACTTAATAATTTTTTATCAAAACATCAAAGTAACAATGACACTGCCACATCACACATGCTTTCAGTGTCCCGGTCAAATGGCTCCAATGCATACGCATGTCCATCAGTAGCAATTATTTTTGCATTGATTTTTCATACATCATTTTAACCCAGTTAAATGGAGGTGTAATTAAGGGATTGGGCCTTAGCAATGGAGAATGTACCTTTTCTGGACAACAATTGGCAACTTAATTAGCAAGAAATTCAGTTCATTTTTTTAAGCCTGCAAGTCAAAACAACCCAATAGTGCAAGTCAAAGCAGCCTATTTTGTACAAATCAAAGCAGCAAAACTTTCCACTTCAAGAATGAGCTTGCATCAACTAGCACTATTTGTTGTTTTGACTTGAATATTAGGAAAGACAATTGACTTTGATTCCTGAAAGTGAAATTGAAAATTACCAACCTAAGTTATACACAAAACCACAACTTTTATAGGATGAGAAATTACTAAATACCCACAATGTTATTGAAACGAGCAAAGTTGAAACAATGACAAAAGGAAAGGAAAGAAACAAAGAAAAACATGGATTTCTTAGATGTACAGAGATGGAGATTACTTACCAAGGACTTCATGCCCTTGTTGCCTTCAGTCCTACCTTTTCCAAAAGTGAATACTCTCTGTGCCAACAAAATAAAAAAAGAGTAGTAGTCATCTTGTCATTGTAGAAATCATTACAAGAGATTAAAAAACTGAAAAATAATGATTCAAAAAAAATATTCCATGCAATTGAGTTTGAAGGTGTGTTAAAGCTTGATATATATTGTAAGCCCAGAAGAAGCGACAACCATTGCTCATTAATCTAGGCAATATGCAGTGCGTTCGAGTCCAAGAATCAACCTTTCCAAATTAGAATAAAGTGTCACATTATAACCAAGAGCATTGAGTACTGGGTACCATTATATAGTGCGAGTCTTTTCTTTGATATCAACATACCCTTGGTTGTTTCTTCCACCTTGTCATGTTTGAACAACATAAGGTTTTAGGGGTAATCGAGAGTTTAAATATAGTATACCACCTTGTCATGTTTGAATTTGAAAGGAACCGCAAATAATGGTCCGCCTTCGGACCCCATTAAAGGGAAGTAAACTGGATGTTACGATCTAATTCCAGGTAAAACGTTTGATTGGTCGGAGGGATAAAAAGTACGAGAAATATATTTTTTTATCCCCTAACGGAGAAAAGCATGAATTATACATTTTTTTCTTTTGTATTTGGTCGCATAGATGAAAAATAAAAATAATTATTTTTTTTGTGTATGAAACAGATGAAAAAATAGACAGAGTCAACAATATACATGCATATTATACAAAAGATAAAAAAATAAAATAATCTTTTAAAAGTCAAATTATTATGCTTTTTTCTCATTTTTCACCCATTTTTTGGGAAAAGCAAATTGTGGACCAGAGGAAAAAGTCCTCCCTCCAATTTTCCTTTTCATCCTTCTTTCCTTTTTCTTTGATACCAAAGAATGAAAAACTTTTTCATTTACCCCATTTCCTTTCCCCAATTTTTCATCCACCCCTTTTTCCTTCAAACCAAACATAATGTTAGTATAGAGATCTCAGGAACACAACACTTACGACACTTACCTGCATGGCTGCAAAGACAAAGAAGTTGGTCTGTTAAAGAAGAGTGAACTCAAAACTGGTTTCAGTAATTTTGTCTGAAGAGACACCATTTCTATAAGGGTGTTCATGCTGGTGAGCGATTTGACACCTGCATAGCAATTGTCACGTGGCAAGCTCATGCAATATGGAGATGACTCACTATACCAACTTCAAGCCTGTTGTCTTGACTCTACGGTCTCGACGTGGGAGCCAAGAATTGAATAATTTATAATTATTAATTAAAAAAATAATCATAAAATAAAAAATATTAGACGTGACACATTTCATGGTACATTTATGATTCACATATATAGACGTGACACATTTCAAGGTACATGCATGATTCATGATCAATTACTGTACTGCGTCTATCATAGAAAATGACTAATATGCCCTCGCGCCAAGTNAATGGATCCTACTCCGTTGTGGTAACAAATAGAATATTCAATGCACTTAAACTAGGGTAACTTTTGCGTTTATTTTTAGGATTTTCATGAAACCATCAAAATAAGAAANTATGGATCCTACTCCGTTGTGGTAACAAATAGAATATTCAATGCACTTCACCTAGGGTAACTTTTGCGTTTATTTTTAGGATTTTCATGAAACCATCAAAATAAGAAAATGTGATATGTGATGAGTTTATCACATTTTAGGTATTGCATCACTTAATAATTTTTTATCAAAACATCAAAGTAACAATGACACTGCCACATCACACATGCTTTCAGTGTCCCGGTCAAATGGCTCCAATGCATACGCATGTCCATCAGTAGCAATTATTTTTGCATTGATTTTTCATACATCATTTTAACCCAGTTAAATGGAGGTGTAATTAAGGGATTGGGCCTTAGCAATGGAGAATGTACCTTTTCTGGACAACAATTGGCAACTTAATTAGCAAGAAATTCAGTTCATTTTTTTAATCCTGCAAGTCAAAACAACCCAATAGTGCAAGTCAAAGCAGCCTATTTTGTACAAATCAAAGCAGCAAAACTTTCCACTTCAAGAATGAGCTTGCATCAACTAGCACTATTTGTTGTTTTGACTTGAATATAAGGAAAGACAATTGACTTTGATTCCTGAAAGTGAAATTGAAAATTACCAACCTAAGTTATACACAAAACCACAACTTTTATAGGATGAGAAATTACTAAATACCCACAATGTTATTGAAACGAGCAAAGTTGAAACAATGACAAAAGGAAAG